TGGGGCCTGAACTGTGGGCCTGGGCACTGTCCCTTAGCTCTTCAGTTCAAGGCTAGTGCTCTACCACTTGAACCACAGTGCCACTTCCGGCTTTTTTCTTTTTGCTTATTTGGCGCTGAGGAATTGAACTGAGGGCCTCAGGCATGCAAGGCAAGCACTCTACCACTGAGCCACCTTCCCAGCCCTCTTTCTTACCTTTTAATGGTGTCTTTTTTTTTTCTTTTTTTGGTGGGTCCTGGGCTTGAACTCTGGGCCTGGGCGTTGTCCCTCAGCTCTTCAGCTTAAGGTGAGCACTCTACCACTTAAGCCACAATGCCACTTGTGGTTTTCTGGTGGTTAATTAAAGATAAGAGTCTCATGGACTTTCCTGCCTGGGTTGGCTTTGAACTGCAATGTTCAGATCTCAGCCTCCTGAGTAGCTGGGATTACAGCTGTGAGCCACCAGTGCCTGGCTAATGGAGTTTTTTGATACACAGAAATTCCTCCTTTAATGAAGAGTAATTTCTTATATTTCCCCCTTTTTAAAAGCTTATTTTGTGGCTTTTATATCTATCTATCTATATTTATTTATTTAGTCGGTCATGGGGCTTGAACTCTGGGCCTGGTGTTGTCCCTGCGCTCTTCAGCTCAAGGCGAGTGCTCTACCACTTGAGCCACAGCGGCACTTCTGGTTTTCTGGTGGTTTATTGAAGATACAAGTCTCAAGGACTTTCCTGCCTAGACTGGTTTTGCACTGAGATCCTCAGATCTCAGCCTCCTGAATAGCTAGGATTACAAGGGTGAACCACTGGCGCCTGGTTGTATAATGTTTTAATGCAGCATTCTTTTTCTGTTACTTAAGATACTACGTGTTCTTTTTTTGAACTTTATACCTTTTCTATTTGGATATAATCCTCTGTAGGTCTTAGAATATATATGCAACTGTAATGTTTCTTTTTACATTTAGTGAATTCAATAGTGGATGTCTATACGGTAAAACAACTAAAGGAAAAAGCTTCAAAGAATGAAGAGAAAGCAGACCCTTCCTATGGCATCCTTTATGCTTTCATTTCTACCCTCAGCATTGATGATGGAACTACAAGAGTAGTTCGAAATAGATGGTAATTAATTTTATAAAAAATAGTCATGAATAAATTTTAAGCTTTATGTAAGTTACAGCTATTATTTGACATATGGTGATATATATGTATAAGTAATGTATAAGTAAATAAAGCATAAAAGTTTTCATAGGGGCTGGGAAGGTGGCTCAGTGGTAGAGGGCTTGCCTTGCATGCATGAGGCCCTGGGTTCGATTCCTCAGCACCACATAAGCAGAAAAAAAAAGCCAGAAGTGGCGCTGTGGCTCAAGTGGTAGAGCGCTAGCCTTGAGCTGAAGAGCTGAGGGACAGCGCCCAGGCCCAGAGTTAAAAAAAAGGAATTGACTTTTGAATCTGGAAGCAGTTTTTTATTAAACATCATTTGATATTAACTTTTTAAATGTGTTTTTGGAATTTAGCAACTATAAACTATTACTCAGTGAGAATCACTCCGTGGTGAGAGTTTGTTCCAGTTATGAAGTGGACACCAAGTTACTTTCTTTGATACACTTACCTGTTAAAGAGTCTCGTGATTATTATTCATTGGGTGATGTCATTGCAAACGGACACAGCCTTGATGGGAGGATTATTAATGTGCTTGCAGCTGTGCGATGGGTAAGTCAAATCCTAGCAAATCCAAATGCAATGTGACAGACTACTCTGTTGCCTAACTTAATTTTGGAATCAATGGTCAGGACCTGTAGGAGCAATTTTTCCTATCACAGTAGTAAGTCATATTATGAAAATAGTAACTTTTCTCATTAAAGGGAAGATAGTATTTTTCCTGTTGAATAGCCAGCAAAATAAAAATCATATTGCTAAATGCAGCATTTTACCATTTATAAATAAATAATGCAGTATTTGACAGCATTCATACTTGGGTTAAAGAAACATATAAATAGAAAGGATAAGCTTATTGACTTGAAAAGCCAGGCCACTCCTTGGAAGGATGTGGTTGAATGAGTCAAGCAATCATTTGGTACCTGTGTTCTCAGAGCTGTGCAGAGAGGGAGGAGGAAGGAAGAATACTCATTGTACTGGGTAGGGCTGCTGAGAAGGGCCCTGAGCAGCAGGTAAGGACAGCTCTGCAGGGGCCCCAAGAACATCAGAACCCATCTCAGTGACCCCTGAGGAAGGTTCTGAGCCGAGTAAGGACTGTCTGCCTAACAGACAAAGGCACTGCACAAAGATTTAGAGGTGGACCTCAAAAGGAAATCTTCACAGGTCCTGCAGCTCAGTGCTACAGCTCTTGCCGACTATGTGCAAGACCCTGAGTTGAATCCCTACCACCCCCCAAGTAAGACTAAAGCCTCACAAAATAAAGTGTATGCAGACATTTTTTTTTTTTTTTTTTT